CAAGACGCAGACCGGTTTCAAGCTGTGCACGAGGCGCATGCGTGCAGCGGCAGCGCGTGCGCCATGCGCTCGTCGCTCCACTCGCCCAGCAGCCGCCGCTTCGTCTCGTCGGAGACGTGCACGCAGCGCTGCAGCAGCGCCGCCGTCTCGTCCTCGGGCCGCTCCAGGTCCATGACGACGTTCGTCGAGGCGTGGAAGCGCGTCTCCAGGTCGATGGCCGCCTGCTCGGCCGCGGCGAGCTTGCCCTGGTCGACGCACATGCCGCACACCGCGTGCGCCGGGCAGCCGCACTGGCCGCGTTGTGGGCGCACGGTCTTGGCGACCGCCGGCGCTGCGCGCCGGTCGTGCTGCTCACGCTGCCGGCGGCGCTGGTCGCGCGCCTGCCGATCGCGCGTGTTCGCGGCGGCTGCATCTCTTGCTCGTTTCGCTCGCACCCGAGCGGCTGTCGCCAGGCGCTTCAGGTCGGCGGTGCTGCGCGCGCGGCCGTCGGCCAGGCACAGCCACATGTCCTCCTCCTTAGCAGGCTCGCACGGCTTGCCGTCGAACTGCGGCTGGCGCCCGCGACGATGCTTCGCCCAGGCCGGGCACGATGGTGCCGCGACGAGCGGCGTCGAGGCGACGGCCATCGATGGGTCCAGAAGACTTGGAGACACTTCTACCAAAAAATCGAGCACAATTGCGTTACATGGGCATGGCCGGGGTTTCTGCACCGAACGATCTTACTTTCGGTCTATCGAAAGTGTTGATCGATAAACAAGGTCTGTGAAATGGGCCGTGCCGTCTCTTCGGCCGAAGGGACTCTGATTGCGCAGGCATGACCCGCGCCTTTGGCGTCCGCTCCGACTCCGCGACGTGGCCGCTGCCGACCATCGCCTTCCTGGGCGGCACGGGTCGGATGGGCGTCCACCTCTGCGCGGCGTGGGCGAGCGCGGGCTACGAGGTGACGATGTGCAGTCGTGCCAAGGAGAAGGCGCAGGCGATCGTGGACTCGCTGCTGAGCGGCGCGGGCTACCAGGAGAAGGCGAGCAGCGGCAGCGTCGGCGAGATTTGCGTGCCGCCTTGCCCGGCGGAGGGGTGGAAGCTCAAGGCCGGCACAAACACGGACGCCGCCGCGGCGGACATGATCGTGCTAGGGACTCGGTTCGACGCCGCGTGGCCGCTCCTCGAGGCCATCGCGCCGCAGATCCGCGGCCAGGGCAAGCTCATCCTGGATATCACCAACCCCCATCTCGCGTGGACGATGGGCGGCTCGAGCGGAAAGAAGGGCGCCGCCCTCCTTCCAAAGGATGGGCCCCAGAGCTCCATCGAGGTGCACAAGGCCAAGCTGGACGACCCGACGGCGAGGTGGGCGGCGGCGTACAAGACCGTCTACTGGAGCCTCATCCTTCCCACTGGCCCAAAGAACCCCGCCCGGCCAGGCGTCGAGGTGTTTGGCGATGAGGCGGCGCTCCCAGCGGTCTGTGAGCTCGTTGCGATGCACGGCTGGCAGCCGGTGGTCCGGGGCGGCTGCGACGTGGCGGCAGACTTCGAGGGCGGGACGATGAGCGTCAGCCGCTTTCTGGGCAACATGAAGCGCGAGATGTTTCAGGGGGAGAAGCTGAGCGTCGGGTGGTGACCGGCGGTTGCCTGGTGTTGTGCGCGTGGGTTCGCTGCGCGTTGTGGCTTGTGGCGGCACTCAGCCGGACGGGCCGGGACTCGGGGCGGCGCGCGTAGCGAGCACTCTCGGACTCTCGTGTTGTTGCGCCACAGTACGTTGTGTCAGTGCGAGACGTGTTCTACTCTAGAGTGACACCCAGCGAGGGGCAGACCTCTCGATGATGGACCATCCACATTGGGCTCTCCCCCCCTTCTCGCCAACCCACTAAATTCCAGCAGAGTTCTCTGCGCCTCGAAGTACTCGAGTGCGGAAAACGGCGGACAGCTGCTTCCCCCATATGGCGCTTGCGCCGCGCAGCGTGGGCGCGGCATCATGCGGGCCGCTGTCTCGCGGGATCGCTGGGCGCCGCTCGGCTCCCCACGCGCCGCCGAGCTGCGATGGCGCAACCGCAACGGCTGCCCCTCCTCGGCTCCCGCCCCGGGGCTGCCGAAATAGGTGCCCCGAGCCACCGTTTGCAACATCCGCGCGGATCGGCGGCGCTGCCGACGCCCCCCCGACCGGCAAACTCCATTGGAAGGGCGGTGGTGAACGCTGCACCTCAGAAATGTCGTCGTCGTCGCGCAGTTCCCTTAAGTGACGTTCGGCGCCCGGCGCGGCTGGCGGCCAAAAATCCGGATTTTCGTCTCCCGACGCGAAGATATGGTCCCGAGTCTCACTACTCGCCCCTCCATCCTGTAGGTCCGGACCTTGCCTGCTCAGTAGCCGCGATGAATCGTCGCCCTCATCGTCCGCGGTCATCCTTTCAGCCTCAAACGGGCCAAACGACTGTCTCGCCATCACCCATCTCGCCTCTCGCGGTCGCGTCACGCCTTCCCTCGTGCCACGAGTAGGCGCGTGAGTGATGGCCCTGCCACCAGGTACACGGCTACACCTCGGGACGCCGTGATGAGACGGATAGAGCCGCCCCGCGGGAGCAAAAGCCGCCTCGCGCGCCTCAGCCCGCCGGGCCCCTCGGCGGCCAGTGTGGGGTGGATACGGCGGTGATAAACCCCTCTGACAGCAGAGCCTCACGACGTGGGCTGCGAGGTCACTCGGGGTGACCCAGGGGCTGGCGGGGGAGCAATCTCCCGCCGGAGCAGCGGGTGAGATTCCCGCTACTCGCTCGAGTTTGAGGTGCGCCGCGCCTCGCCTGTGCTGCCTTCCCGGCTGCCCCAGCCGCCCTCACCGTCCTCATCCCCTCCCCCACCCCCTCCCCCCCAGGCTAGGCCCTCGCCACCGCCGCTGCCGCTGTCTCCGCCACAGTCGCCGCCGTTTCCCTCCCCCCCACCCCCTCCGACGCCGTCGCCTCCGCTGCTCCCGCCACCACCGCCGGCCGCCTCAGCTCTCCCTCGCCCACCTCCCACACACCACCACCGCCCTCCGCGCGTCCCCGCACGCCGCCTCCGCGCATCCACGCCCCCACGACGACCTCCCGCCCCGCCCTAACCTACACGGGCACGTCTCGGGCCCCACATGTCGCATGTGGCGCGCGTAGCTCTGACAGGGACTGCGGCCGCGGATCCGGCCACCGTCGGGCCGCCGGGGATGCGCCACGGACGGCCCTGGAATAGCAGCCATCGCGCGCACATGCAAGAGACTGCCTCATTGCCGCAAGGCTTGCAGGTGTGTCGCAGCTCAGGTATGAGGTCCCTGGCTACGGGACGGCGACCTTCGACCTGAAGCACGAGAAGGCCGCGGGCGACCGCGAGCCGGTGCAGGCGGCGGAGCGCTCGTTCGTCGAGCGCACCGCGTCGCGGAAGGAGGAGCCGACGGAGGAGCAGAAGGATGCTCGGACCGCGGCTCGCAGGGCCAAAAAGGCCCGGCAGAAGGCGAACAAGGCGGAGAAGAAGGCTGCGGCGGCGGCTGCGAGCGAGGCCGAGCGTGCGGACTACCCGCACGCGCAGCTGCGCGAGAACGTCGAGTTCGTCATGGACGGCCTGGAGGCTGCGACGCAGGCGGCGCGCAACCCAGCGGGGTCCAACATCCAGGATGGTCGCCTACTCGCTGCCTCCCGAGGGGGGTAGCGGGTTCGGCGACCTGGTGTACGCCACGGTCCCTCTGGGCTCCGTGGCGACGAAGGTCGCCCGGGACTGGCTCGCCAACGAGCTCCACGAGCCGTCCCGGCGCGGCAAAATTGATGCGGCCTGCAGGGACCGAAAGGTCGCCGACCTGATCACGGCTGCCGGCGCCTCGGCGCCGGCCGACGCCGTGTGTTCCCCACCCCCATGGAGGACCTCTGAGGTCCTCCCCAGTCTCACCCCACCTTACCTCTGCCCCCCCCTCCCCCCATCCCTCTGCCTCCCATAGGGCAGGATAGCACTAGCATATGCGCCTAGTGCGCACACTGGGCCCACATAGGTGTGACCCGCCCACTCGAGTGCGGCGCCCGGATGCTAGTGCTTGAGAAGACACCACAAACGCGGCACGGCCCGTTTTGGCTCTGGGCCGGCGCGGGGGCCCCAGAGGGTGTCCATTCCCATGGCCCGCCGCAGGCGCCGATTTTTTCGGATTTTTTAACGATTTTTACTTGTTTTCATGGGATTTCGGCGAACTTGCGGCCACTTGAGCACTTGAGCACCGGATAGGGTCGATTCCGCATGGTACGGGACCCCTCGATCGTCTCGCCCACCCTCACTGGAGTGTTCATTGGGGGGGGTCATAACAAACACAGTACAGGATCCCAGAGGGTAGATCGAGCAGTGTCGTCCCCCCTCTCCATCATCTCACTGGGAGACGTCGGCGGCGATGACGGTGTGACCGTGCTATCACGCCTTGCGACAGCCTGTCGGCGCTGCTGACCGTGCCATGATGCACAATTGATCACCTGCACAGCTCGCGGCCTTAGTATCAAGCATATTCAGTGACGACCTGATCGTACGGCCAGTAGGAAGGTGTCCTTCCATCGTGTGCACGCTTCTGGCGCAATGCGCGTCGCCTCGGATTGGCTGCTGGCACTCTCGAGGCTATGCCTACGCAGCCTCGCGCGCATGGGCAGTCAAGAGGGACCACGCACCTTCTCAGGACAGCGCCGGTGCCTCTCTCTTGGACCGGCAAACTTTGTGGTCTCGTGTCACCAATGTGGGACCAGTGCGGCATCGCGCCATCGACAGCTCTGAACTGCGCCTCACCACTGACCGGGAAGGCCGCCAAGTGGGCCAGCGCACCGGTCGCACATAAGATTGTGGCAGCAGTCAGCAGTGCATGTCTGATAGCTAGAGCAGCAGCGTCAGGGTCGCAGGGTCGGATCGTGTAAAGCCTCTCGCCCGGCCGGCCGCGTGCAGGGACGTCGGCCTGTCTGCGCTCTGTCGCTGGAGTGATCTGACATCTGTCGGCGGTCAGTACGACCGATCAGGTCGGAGTTTTCGGATGGTTGGAGGGTCTATCTGTGTGTACTCCTCGAGATCTCTCCAAATCTGCCCTCTGATCAACCGTGATCATTCGGGAAGTCGGTGCTAATACATCGAAACGAGACATCGCTCTCTTGCGGCGGGGCTGCTCGGGTTGCCGGGACACCTGCTCTCGCCAGCGCCGCGCACCGCGGAGCCATGCGCAGCCCCTCCCACCGCTGCACACGTACACACGTACACACACACACGCTGCCTAAAGCTAAGGGGTCGGATGCGCTCTGGCCTCTGCCGCGCCCGCAGAGACCACGCTCGCGGGAGGCTGCCGCCGCGTCCGCGGCCTGCGGCCACAAGGCGGTCAGATCTCGTCCTTCTCCGGGTTCTCCTTGGCCTCCTCGGCCTCGGCCTTGGCCTTCTCCTTGGCCTCCTCCTCCTCCTTGGCCTCCTTGGCCTTCCTCTCCTCCTCCTTGGCCTTCCTCTCCGCCTCGGCGGCCTCCTGCTTCGCCTTCTTGGCCGCCTTCTCCGCCTCGGAGCGCGCCGCGAAGGCCTCCGCCGCAATCTTGGCCGGCGCGGGGTCCGTCGAGATGAGTATGTTGTCGAACAGCGCGCCGTCCTGCATCGTCCACAGCTCGATGCCGATGCCGCCGATCGGCGCCATCGCGTGCGGCTGCTCGTCGCTGAAGTAGCCCGGGTTTGCAATCTGCTTGGGCTTCCACACGCCCTTGTACTCTGGGTTGTCCACCTTTGGCGCGGTCCACTTGCCCTTGTAGTCGGGGTTCCGGATCTGCGGCGCCTTCCACTCCCCGCACCCAAACTCCTTGCAGT